GACGCCCGCCCGCCCGCCCGCGTGGCTCCCCCGGCGACGTCCACATGCCTGTGCTCCCTGCTCCTGAGAGCACACAGGCATTTTCCACCCTGAGGAACAATGCAATGTATGGGGAAACTGAGGCACACATAGGCATCATAAAAGTATTACAGAAATTACCTTGCCACCCTATCTGTCCCCATGGCCCTGTCCCCCGGAGGATGCTCCAGGGTCACCCTTCCCCCATAATCTCTTTGCCATGTGGCCCACGTGGCCAGCTCAGCTGTCTGGTTGCTGACGGCTTCTCTTTCCCCAGGGCAGGCCTGGGGTGGTGACCTGTGGGGAAGTCATAGGCATCATAAAAGTATTACAGAAATTACCTTGCCACCCTATCTGTCCCCATGGCCCTGTCCCCCGGAGGATGCTCCAGGGTCACCCTTCCCCCATAATCTCTTTGCCATGTGGCCCACGTGGCCAGCTCAGCTGTCTGGTTGCTGACGGCTTCTCTTTCCCCAGGGCAGGCCTGGGGTGGTGACCTGTGGGGACGGGCAGGGCCATGGCCATGGCTTTGCAGATGGCGACTTTGTGACTTTCTCAGGCGTGGAGGGCATGAGCCAGCTGAACGGGTGCGAGCCCCGTGCCCTCCGTGTGCTGGGTGAGCCCATGCTGACTGCTGGCCGGGCGGGGGGGGCACCCTGCTGTGGGAAGGCTGCTGCAATGGAACCTGGGGTTGTTTTTCAGTGAACGTCACTGAGCCCCACCTCCAGAGGACGGACGGGGATGGGGCCTTTCCCTCTGGCTCCCTGCTTTCAGCCCCACCTAGGCACTGGTGGCTGCTGGGCCACATGTCCTTGCCTGGGCCCAGATGAGCCCCTGGCCCTGAGCACCTGCAGCCCTGCTGTGGGAAGGCTGCTGCAATGGAACCTGGGGTTGTTTTTCAGTGAACGTCACTGAGCCCCACCTCCAGAGGACGGACGGGGATGGGGCCTTTCCCTCTGGCTCCCTGCTTTCAGCCCCACCTAGGCACTGGTGGCTGCTGGGCCACATGTCCTTGCCTGGGCCCAGATGAGCCCCTGGCCCTGAGCACCTGCAGCTCATATGGGCTCCCGGCTCTGGGGTGGGCCGTGGCCA